TCTCTCTTTCTCTATTTCTCTCTCTTTCTCTCTCAATATATTTATTTATATAAAAACACACAGACACACAGAGACACACACATGAATATATATAAACAATTACATATATTTTTCGCTTGTCGCATGCATGTTACACGTTCAAAGGATAATTAATATCACGTTAATTAGACTGTTTGACAGAAATCTACATGCCGTCTATGAGCAAATTGTTGTGTGCACAGTAACAGAGTTTATCGACAATGTTAACCAGTTTTTCGAGATTCCAAGGACTCGTTTGAGAAACGAATAATAGAAGTGTGTTCAAAACGTATATATACATGTAATACATACACATGAATATATATATACATACATATATATGTATACCAGTTACACGATCACAATTAAACTCGATCGCGTAATCCTGTTGGCCTGTCCAAATATATATATACATATACATATATATATAAAACACAAAAAGAAAGATTGTAAATAATCGAAATGTAATCCTTGAACTGCGTTACATGTATTTATTTAATAAAATGTAATGTGAGCATAATTCTTGGTTGTTCTAGATGCTGTTACTATTCATGAATCCCTTGCGCAAAAAGCGGCTTCTCCCCTAGAATCTGTAGATGCTAGTTATCCCAGTAAAGTAGTCGGCCACGAGCAGGATCTCTCGCCGACCGTCGAGAGACAGACCTACTCGGAGAAGAGGAAGTTTTGGGAGGACATATCGAGGAAACGCGAAAGCTACCAGCGTTCGGAGTCGGACGTCTCCCGAACGTCGGAGATCACCGTTAACGAGAGCGACAGCTTCTACGTACAGAACGTGGTCACCGAGGACACAACCGACGTACCGCCTCAGATCGACAAATCGGAGACGATGGAGGACCTGAACGTCCCGGACATCTCGGAATGCTCTGTCGCCGAGAAGGCGCACTACTTCGAGGAGCAGATACAAAGGGAAATGACGAAGATACCGACCAAGACGGCCCAGCAAGTCCCAGTGAAGTCCGAGAAGGAGAAACTGACGAAAACGAAGCTGGACGAGAGAGAGGACAGGATGATGACGGAGCTGATGGAGGACAAATACGAAGAGAAGATGGACGTGAAGGCTCTGATCTCGGAGAGGGAGAAGGAAGCTAGGGAGATCATGCGCACCGAGAGGTATAAGATCGACGAGGCGAAGATCGAGAAGAAAGAGGGAGACTACGTGACGGAGAAGAGGGACGAACCTGAGAAGTTGAAGAAGGACGTCGAGAAGGACGACACCTCGAAGTCGGAAGAGGTTTCCGTGAAAGAGAAGAGGGAAGAGTTGAAGGAGGTATCCGTGGAGAAGGTTACTCGGGTAGAGAAAGTATCTGTGAAGACTGAAAGGGAAGTTGTAGAGCGACGAGTAGATTTGGGGGATGACGTTAAAGGTGCGTTTGGGAAAGTTGAAAGGGAAGAGAAAGATGGAAAGGGAATGGAGGAGACAGTGGAGGCTGTGGATAAGAGAGTGCAGGAAGAAAAGACGCAGCTCGTAGAGGAAGCGAAAGAAGAAAGTGTTGAGACTGTTGCGGAGGTATCTGTGCAGAAGGAAGGAGATTTGAAAGAGACTATTGTGGAAACGACTGTAGTAGATGTACAGAAAGGTATAGATGAGGAAATACAGAGGAAGGAAGAAATGCAGAGACAGATAGAAGAAGAGAAACGGAAAAAGGAAGAAGAAGAGAAACGGAAGAAGGAAGAAGAACAACGGCGGATAGATGAAGAAAAACGGAAGAAGGAA